TGTCGTTAAACGTTGAACGCCAATAACGCGACACTTTTCGAAAGATATCGATACGCGCAATCATTGCACAAGATTGTTTTCATTATTCGATTCATTAAAATTTCGTGGAGTTTTAACGAAAATGAGATGAGATTTAAAGCGTGGAAATAGCACAGAATGAAATATTTAAAAATTAAAAAATTTCCTGTAAAGTTATACAAAAGAATAATAACGAAATATCTTTAAGAATGTTTCTCGAAACGTGTACAACGCAGAAAAATTTCGACAATTTTTCTATCGAACACGAAGGATCACGGTTTAAAGACAAAACAAACTCCCTACACGGATACTAAAAACATAACCGAAAGGAACGGACGAGGAACTTACGTGCAAAAACTCGGAAAACTCGATACAGAGAACATAAACTCGCATTATGGGTCTTAGGTTAGCTCAGTGAAAGAGCGCATTGCGGCGTCGAAGGAGGGCCAGAAGGAGTTGGAGTTAGATCGAATACGGTTGGAAATATCGGATGTCCGAGTTTGATCGCGACGAACGTCGTTGGTATCAGCGTCACAGACATTCTTTCAACGTGAAGGAGGGGAGGAGGAGAAGAGGGGGAAAAAATGAAAGGTACAAGAAAGGATAGGAGGAAAAACGTGGGACGATGGCCAGTGCATTCACGTCACGTGCCATCCACTCCCCTTTCTATAGATAATCCTGGACTCTAACCTGTTTGCCCGTCTTTTTCGCCTGCGTATATATCTGCAATAAGAGTCTCGAGTGAATCAAGGAGAGAGTTTCTTCCACCTTCTTTCCTCTTCCATCCGATCTTTTATCCGTTTCCTTCGAATTTCTCTTTATTCTTCTCTTACGTCGAGTTTATTTCTTCGCTATTCTCCACCCTATGTTTGCTACTCCCTCCGTGTATCTTCGTCTCCAACGTTGTACACCGATGTTCAAAAGTTGGGAGACAATCGATTTTTTTTTTTTTTTCTATCTTTCGTATTTCGTTTTCCAATTGACGTCAATTGTCAAGTATTCACTTCTATCATTTAAAGAGAAATAAACGTAAATTGTATTATCATTTTACGAAATACCAGAAGAATAGAAATAAAAGTACGATCAGCAAATATAGTTCAATCAGTCTTTACATATAATAGACACAATCATTTTTCCTAAATGCCAAAAATAATCGAATTCGTGGAAATTATTTATAAACCTATATCTAATATAATAAATATAAATATATAAAATTTGCTGAATAAAATATAACGATATAATTTTTTCCTAGCCAATTCAATTTATGATCCCTATACTTTTCAACAGAGGTGTATTCGAGCGCTCTGAGAATCGAACTCTCTCCCCTTCCCCCTATATATATATATATATCTAACGCAGCGCTGTTAAGGTCTATTCCTCTGTTTCTCCATTTCGAGCGATTCGCTGAATCGGCGAAGCGAGTCGAAGGATGCCATCATGCCAGCCATTGCGGCGCAAAGTGTCGCCTCTTGTTTCTGTGCGCGGGGGAACGGCGTTTACAATGGCGCAGGAAGCTCTCGGGAAGGAACGTCGACACCGTCCTCGGCTACTTATCTTTTGTTCTTATTTGGAACGCAGCGCGGAGGGCCGTGTCTAGGCGAATCATAACGCGTTCCACGAAGAAAGAGAGGGTGGATAGAAGAATACTTTGCCCGTGGAGGGGGCATGAATTCAATTGGAAGCTTGTAATAACGGTAATAACTTCTCCATCCTCGAAATTAGGAATTGGACGACTTTATTGGGGAAAGAAAAGCTTGATCTCGAGATCGGTTTCGATTGTGGTCAGGGAGTAAGTAAATGATCGAGGATTATTCGAATATTATATATAATGTGGATAATGGATGCGTGTATAAATAGATTTTGATTATTTTGTATCATAAATTTGATTTTTGAGGATGTCGCGTTATTCCTTCGTGATCGAATTTGAAACGCTAAAACTGTCCACTCGCAGTATCCAAGTATATTTATTTTATAATAAAATAAGTGCATTACATTTCTATCTCGATAAATTACAATTATTAATTTCGTCAATGAAATTTTCGTTCGTTCTAACGTTAAAATAAATAAAGTGCATTATTTACTTCTTATAAATTTATAATTCTTATTTAACTCTTATTACTTGAAATCTTCCTTAGAAATTCTCTACCGGTCGATTTAAGACATTAATTATCACTTTATCGACCGAAATTTCAACTGGCGTGGTAAGAACGACCGACAAACTTCGAACCCCCGGTCCCAAAGTTATTGTTGTCAAATTCAACGTTGACGCCGCTTTAATAACATTAAGATCATTAAAGTTGGGCCACGGAGTTGGTAACGAGTGGTAATGAGTCCGCGGATAAACATCGAAATTACTTCGGATCGAAACTGCGCCAGAAGTCGATCGGATGTCGTTACCCTCCCCGCGTCCAAAGTTGCCGGAAGTTGCCATCACCCGCCCCGCAATCCCTAATCCAACGTTGAAAATCTACAGAGGAGGGGGAACTATTACCATTATCCGCTTATTTTCACTTCTCTTAACCGAGTTTCTCGTCTCGTCGAGTTGCTCTCTTCCACAATTTCGATTCAGAGGATTCGAAGGAAGCAGCAAAAGGATAGCGATTTTCCGTGATCGTCGGGTCTAAAAGAGAAATTTCAACTTCCGCCCCGTGATCCCGCGCATTCCATCGATTTCCTGTCGACTCTCGACCAAGAATTTACTTCTCGAGGATTATGCCTCTTTATTCGAAAAAATTTGCAGAAATCGTCCCGAGTTAAGCAATCCCAGTTGTTGCCCTTTGATGGAGTGTAAAGAAACGATAAATATAAAATTTTCCCCAATCATCGTTATGGTTTCTCCATTCTATTTCCATCTGTCGTTCAGATAGGCAATGCAAAAACAAGTATAAACTTCGTACGAAGTTTCCACAAAACCATCGTTTCTCATCCACACACTTTTATCACTCCGATAGTAAACATACGAACAATCGAAAAAATACATACAGACAAAATTTCTTCAAACCGTTATTATTATTCGCTACAAAATTATTATTATTATATTCACCAGTATACATCCATATTTCTTTCCAAGCGTGATAACACTGAAATTACCCCCCCCCCCCAAAAAAAATTCTCTAAGCCTCTATTTCCACTTATTTTTTTTTCTTTTCTTCTTTTTGCCACTATTCATCACGTGATACAACACGGCCCGATACAACGAAAGGAAGGAAGGAAGGAAAATTACAGCGCACGCGAGAACAGAGGCGAGCGAAAAAAGAAATCAAGATCGAGAGAGACGGTGGTGGGGGAGCGACGGTGTGTTCGACGAGGGCTTTTCGTGGTTTATCATGTGGGAAATATGGTAACGCGTTTATCGCTGGCACGGTGTACGCACTGCAGAGCGCGGGGTTACCGCAGTGGTATAAATCGAGTTACGGGGAGCGAGTGCGCACGAGCCTCTACGAACCGCGCGTTTTCATTAACCGTATCTATTTCCCGAGGATTAATGCACTTACACGCGTACAAACGGCGTTTCGAGTCGCGTGCAACGTTCGACACAATCTTTGGAAATATTATCCGGAATCCGGGATAAATAACTCGAACGATTCGTGAGGGAGGGGACAAGTTTGAAATCTCGCCTGGTTCGTGCTTGGCCGATGTTGTCGATGAAATATTCATGGACGTGTCTCGCTTCGATTTTGCCCGAGCTCAAAGGGAGAGAGAAGATCGAATTCATGCGGAAATTTGTGCGAATATGGATTGACGCGCACGGATAAATTGCGGGCTCGTGCTTCGAGGAGGAGAGATTTGTGCTCGAGGTGTGCGCGTGTGTGTGCGTTCTCTCGAGTTTTATCTCGTGTGAAATGCGTTTATTTATTAGGAAGGGGGGAGGGGGGGGAGAGAATTTAGAAAAAGGAACGTTTAATCGATCAGTTGGGGAAAGTAATATTCGAATATTCGAATGAAATTCTTTTGGATTCGCGATTGGAGACGAAGAATAGAAAGGTGAATAGTGTATTAAAATTTTAATATTTTTTAATAGAGACGAGTAACGAGGAATAGTTTCGTTTGTTGCGTTCGATATATTTAACTCGCTGTTTTCAAAATTAAAATCGCGATGCCAAAGTTGAATTGCTTTTGGAAAAATAAACTTGAGAATGTTGTGTTGCGAGATTGATTTTTAATCAACGAAAAGAAAATATCAAACATTCGCACAATGGAATGAAAAAAAAAAAAGAAAAAAACAAACGATCGACAATAGAATATATTTGTTATAAAAATAACATACTACGTATCGCAGTTGCATTGTTATTCCAGATAAAAAAGAACAATGCACTCTCTCTAAATCTAAATTAATTTCGTCTCAATTCGTGCCCTGTAAAATATCGACGATAAAATAAAACAAAAAAAAAAAATAAATAAATAAAAAAATACAATTCATATTCCGCGTATAATATCTATATCGTATCGTTTCGATAAAATGAAATAAAAATTTCGAACGATAAAAGATTGCTGAACACGTAAATCTGTCGAGAACGATTCGAATTTACTTCGAATGGGATTTCTAAATTCAATCGTCAGAAATACAATTTCTCGCATTGATCAATCGTTTGACCTTTCATCCTGCTTTCTTCCGCAATTTCGCAAAATTAAAAAAATATAATAGAACGACGACCGCTCACTTGTTTGTCTCAATCCTGTGGAAAATTTCGCTTTGACGGATCGTTTCATCTATTTTTATGCAACTTTTCGCGTATCGCCGCGCCCAAGTGGCGCAAAGGACATAATTGTCCTCTGAAAAGGAGGTTAACTAGCTTTTTTTCTGCATGTGTTTCGTTCCTCTCCCTTTTTTATTCTATCCGAAGTGTCTCTACTTAGAAACTAATTTGCCCACTGGATTAGAAAGTTGCATATAATTAAGTTGCTCGAGCATGTACTGTGCGTTTAAACGTTGATTCGTATCACTTGCTTGAGATTAAATGAATGTTTTACGAGTGAAAAAGATTCTGTCTTTCAAATTCGTTAAAATAAATTTGGGAATTTTTTATATACGCAATATTACCTATTATCATATTATTCGAAGAAAAATGCACTTAGTGTATGTAAATCTCATCTATTAAATCGTTTCATTAAACATTGTTTCTTTTTACGAATTAAATTTCGAAAATTGATAGAAAATATAACTATAATTTCTATACTTTTCCAATATCGAAACCGAAGGATATAAAAATAAGAAAGCGCATCCTTTTTTGAAATATTTCTTTCTTCAAAATAATTTCCATGTGATTAATGCCACTATGATTCTCACACTCCCAAATCCACTTTATAATATCAAAATTTCAAGATCACATAATTAAACACCGTCCATAATTTCGAATATTGCGAATAAAATTAAATGGAAAATTTTTCCAATCAACGATAAAAGAAATCTTTATTTATCCGTATATGGCTCGAATCCGATATCAAGTAGTTTTTTTTTTTTTTTATTTGTTGGCTCACGAATGGTAAATCAGAGGGGAGGAAGTGCCCTCGTGGGTAAAAACTTCACCATGATGTTGTGTCCATTACGTCGTTCATGGTCGTTTTATACGTTTTATACTTTTTTCCCTCCTCCCTTTCGAAGCTTTGTAAAATTCTAATATCTAGAACGCGAACTTTTCCCTCGACGCGCGTTCGCGCACGTCTCTCGTTCGACTGCGTACGCGCTCGACGTCTCGTAAATAAAAGAATATTGTCGAGGCGAATAACAATTTGCCCGGTCGAACGTTTCTCTCTAGATATAAATGTATAAATTAAATTTATAATTTCAACAATTCGTAATGATAAATTTTTTAGGATTTACATCTTTTTTATTCCTAGTTCGAAAATCGAAGATTTTATTTAAAAATCAAACAATTAATACAACGATAAATTTTTATCGTTAATTTATGTAATTGGTGATATTATTTTTCTACTGTAATCAATTCTTATTGTAATATTATCGTAATATTAAAAATTACTTACGTTTTGAATCTGATCCAAAAGAAAAAGGAAAAAAATTTTCTTAATTCGCCGTATTCGTCGCAAGAAGAATGATCATTCGTTTATTCGAAGAAGAAAAAGAGGAGAGATTATATGATTCGTAGAGAAGGTATTTAAACGTAGAGAAGAGAAAAATTGGAAGAATAGAGTCGAAAAACGAAACTCCATCACGATGAATGGGAGAGAATAAGTTAACCATCCGATCTGCCAATAGGAGGCTGAGTAATCCGTCTTAGCTGCTCGTTCCAACGGAGCCTGCCAGCTGTGCTTTCAACCTCGGCTGGCAAATGTATGTACATAGAGATACACGGCCCGCTTTTTTTTTTTTTTATCTCCGGAACCTTTTCCTGTCGAGAAGTTTCCGAGTCGGCCGCAAGCTGCTACGAAGTCGTTTCACCCTTGACTAATATATTTCTCGAAACTCTTATATATATTTGTTGATTGAAAGATGCAAGAATCATTGTTGAATTTTGAAATACAATTTTTCTCAATTCTTCTGGAATATAGGATTTAGAAAAAAATTAAGTTGAGAGATATTTATAATTATTTACTTCCTTCTCTCTAGAGGAGGCGATTTTCTTGAAGAGAGGGTACGTTTAATGGTCGTGGCTTGATCTGAATTATGAACGTTAGACTACATACTTTGTTGCTTGGGTTAAGAAGATAGATGGCACGTATATTTCATAACACTAGACACAATGATGGAAGTGCTTCAGCACCGTATATTATCCGTACACAACCGAAGCAGTTTAAAAAATGTTTAATATCTATCGAGAAGAAATTCACTCTCGACGATATTCATACATATTCGCTGTAATAATATTTATCTCTCGTAACTTTACTGCTGATCAAATTCCTTACGCGATAAGAGAAAAAGATTCAAAGCTTTCCAGTGCTTGCCAATTTATATTATTATATTATATTATTATATCTCATCGTCGAAACGCGACACGCAACATCTAAAACTCACACACACGCGTTCCAAATATTCGACATCGTAAAAAAAAAAAAAAAAAAAAATTACCACCAACCTTCTAAATTCGAACGACTAACACTGCATCGTGATATCAAACTAAATCTCCCCCCATTACGCAGAATCGATCCGAAACCCATCCCATCCAAACGTTTAATCCAAACACCTCACCTCATCATCTTCGCCTTTCACCGCCCCCGCAGTTTAATCGAACGCATCCCCTTCCAAGCTATCCCTTCGGCATTATCACGAGGCAACGCCACGAACGAGCGATAAGGCGTCCAGACGCAATAACCAATCCTCCTCCTCCGCCTCTCCAGTCGCGAACTTCCAGCCGCGGATGACCTAACCGAGGCAAGTTTAACGAGAGTAATTGCACAGCTCGAGCAAATTGTAAACTCGAGGGCGGCGCTACGATTCCCGACGCGAGGATTTTCGATCGAAAATGTATGCAAAGCATCGCCACGAGGACGCCGACCAATCCCTCTCCCCTCCCCTTTCCAATCCCCTGTTCCCGACCTATTCTCCCCTCGTGTCATCGCGGTAACACCAGTTACCAAGCGTGTTATATTGAATTTCAAACAGGACTCGACGCGGTAAATAAAGTCTCGAACGTCTCTCGAGCATCCCCCTGTGAAATCGGAAAATTTCGTGGAAAATTGTTTTGGCCGCGACAGCAGGTAGGTTTGTTTTCGGAAGGAGAATGGAAAAAATTTTCCAAGACCAAGCGTGGAAAGTATTTCTTGGTTTCTTCGGAAAAAGGTGCGTAGGAACTTTCTTCGTTTGGAGAGTTTTAGAGAGTTTCTTGATCCCCGAGATGTTGATTTTCGAACGATTTATCAAAGAAACGAAAAGAAGAAAAAAGACTGATGCGCGAATATCGTTCCTATCGTTTCTAGTGGGAAAAATTCTTGTGAAAATAGAATTTAAAGTCTCTTTGTTAATAATCGCAACAAAGCGGATGATATTTAATCGAGGTGTTTGGCATTCGTATCATTAGATAAACGAAGTGAAATAAAGGGGAAAAATGAGAATTATCGTCGATGCCAGATCAGGAATGTTGAATGTAAACGAAGCATAAATCGTATTAATTTTATTCGTGTATAATATCCTGTGTTTCCAGCGTTACACAATATTCGGCCCCAAAGAGTTGTAAAACGCTCAAAGGCGTTAAATGTGTTTCCCATCCAGGGGGTAAAACCATCCAGCTTCTACGTTTACATGGGCAAATTTCAAATTTCAAGCATAATTTCACGCTCGTTGTTCGAGAGAATTGTTTTTTCATCAATACGACGCATAATTATTAAGGATAATAAAGCGCAAATAACTGCTTTTAATGGCTTGCAACTTTTACATCGAATAAATTAATGCATATTTGATATTCGCGCGCAATCCATGAAGAAGAGAAATCTTCGATACTTAATCGATAATTGTGCTGTTTTAGCATAACAACCAACGCGTAATCGTATATATACATTTAATATCACATTGAAACTCGATTAATTTAACCTTCTTATTTTCGCTTCGTTTTAAAGTATAATAAATCAATCGTTTCTTCGATCAATAAGAATAGGAAGAGACAAACGGAGAATTTCTATGAATTTTTAACCAACAAAATTCCGGATTAAAGGTGGATCGATGCAAATTTTTCAGGACAAACAGGATAGTATCGTTGTGCGCATTTTAATTAGGAAGGAAAAAATGTTCGAATCGTTCGATGGAAAATGATTGAACCAGTTGCGACGATTTAACGAAGCTCGCAAGTCCACCTTTATATTTTTTAATTAAATCCCGGCTCAAAAGCGGATCTTGCAATCGCTTTCTATATATTCCAGTTAATCGGCATGGGAGAAAATTTGATCTGAAATTCGCGTGAGATTTATATGTAATATAATATTCGTATTAACCCCTGTTATAACATAAAATAAATCAATTCTATCTTAAAACGATGAACACTCTCTCGACGATGCTCGTAGCAATTTTTATACGTTTAGATGGATTGATAATTAATATAGAAATGTAACAATAGCTTGTATTATAACGATATAACTTTATAAAATTATAGAATTTAATAATAAAGTAATAATTAATATAAAAATTATTAATAGAAATAAAATAATATTAGGATTTATATATAATGATGATATTAAATTTAAATTTTTAAATATTGATCTTATATATAAATTATTAATAATATATTTTCTTAATAATTTAATAATTAATAATGTTAATATAATAGATAAAATAATAAATTTAATTTTAATTTTAATTGGTTTATTTAATAGTGAAATAAAATATGAAAATAAAATTAGTATACCTCTAATAAATACAATTAATGTTATAAAAATTAATAATGAATTTATTGGACAAATAATGTATAATGAAATTGAAAGAAAAATAGAATATGGAATATCTATTTTGGAAATTTGTTCAAGATTTAATAATCATCGATAACTCATCAAATTATTGGATGAATTCTTCTTCTTTCATATTTCTTTTTCTCGAATTAAAATACTTAATTAGATTTTACGAGATTCTTTTTTACACAAACTCTGTAAATTTGAATCGTTATCGAGGCTCCTCTAACGGACTTTTAAAATTATTTGAAATTGAAAAAAAAAAAAAATAAAAAAGAAATCTCTCTGAAACTGTTGAAACAACATACGAAAAATTCGAGCATTTCAAGAAACAAATTTCCATAAGTAGGATAAATTAACCAAGAAGTAGAATTACAAACGAAATGTTGCCTTAATAAGTTTGCTCCTAATAGCTCTTAATTAATCAAACGCGGGCATGAAACAGTCGCGTTCGCGCGGGGAATATCCTCTGAAAATTCACGCCCAGGAAACACAGCCGCAAAAAAGAGGATCACAGCGTGCATTACGCTTCTTCTTCCGTTTCCTGTGGGCGCAGATTTACGCGTGGCGGGCGAGACGACGTGCGTTTGAGTTTTCGAGCTTGTCGCAAAGCCGACCTCACCGCGATAAATAATTCGCGAGAATATAAAAGATCAAGTTTTTAGATAAACACCGACGAAATAAGAGAAGAAAGGGAAAAAAGAATCCACACGTTTCACGAAAATATACGTACGTGGAAAGACGAGACGTCTTAGCTCGGTCGCTATCTCGCGCGAGATTCCCTTCCCTTTTGTGCCCGAACTTTAGACGAGTTTTAATATCGCGAGACTGGTGGGGAAAGGCTAGCCTTTCCCCTCGCTTTCACACTTGCGACTCTTTTCGCGCGACGCTACAGGAAAAATTACTCCTCCATTACTTCGTCTTATCGCGAGAGGATGCTTTGCCGGAGCTGTTAAAGTCTTCGCTGCACGACGATTGCGTTCTTTATGCTCGCGGTATTTTGCACGACAAATTTGAAGAGGAAATTAATTTTGTGCGAAGGAAACTTTCGCGATTCGATCGAATTGGCGAAAAATTTGAAAATTTTTATCTATTTAGGAGTTGATCGATTAGAATGGTCGTAGTTGGAAACACGTTTGCTTCGAGGAAGTGGAAAGTAAAGTGCGTGGATATTACAAATGTTAATTCAATATCAGATATAATTTTATAACAAATGTTTGAAACGCGTGTTGAAAAGTTTGAGAAAGATTGCGATCGCGATGTTCGTTGCTCGATACTCATTAACGATCTTGCTATTGAAATCTCGCCGTTCGAAATTTCTAATGAAAATTATCGAGGCGTATCGAAACGACCTTAAAACACACACCGCTGATGACGTACGTATTCAATTTCAATGGAAGATTTCCGATTTCGTCG